GCAGTTTGTTTGCTTATTTAAGAGACTGATGATCAGCTGAGTGTTTTACTGATTGGTTGACAAATCTATTTAACTTGTTTAAGCTAACATAGCAGATCTCTCAAGGAGGAGGAACATGGGTAGACTATAGGCTCATTATCAATGATGCAGATAAAAGGCCTGGATTTGATTTCAGGTGTGGTGCTTGCATTTGGAAGATTTTGCTGTGAACACTCGACATGCAGTCAAAGCTCTCCATGCAGGATGAAACAAGTCATCTTTAAGCTGAAAATAACAGAAAGAAAGAAAATCCATCCAAGAAAGGCTACAATAGTTGGATTGGCAAAATTTACAGTTTGGTACATCTTGAGAAAGAAAGAAACCACTGGTGAACTCAGGAATGCAAAAAGACCTGGAAGTCCACAAAAGACAACAGTGGTGGATGATCGCAGAATCATTTCTATGATAATGAACGCCTTCACAACGGCCAACCAAGTGAACATCACTCTCCAGGATGTAGTGTAGGTATATCAATATTCAAGTCTACCATAAAGAGAAGCCTGCATGTAAATATGGAGGGTTCACTGCATGCTGCAAGTCACTCATAAGCCCCAAGAATAGAAAAGCTAGATTGGACTTCTAAAAATCTAAAAACACCAGCACAATTCTGGAAAACCATTCTTTGGAAAGATGAAACCAAGATCAACCTCTACCAGAATGATGGCAACAAAAAGTCTGGAGAAGGTGTGGAACAGCTCACGATCCAAAGCACACCACATCCTCAGTGAAACATGGCGGAGCAGTGTGATGGCTTGGAAGTACATTGCTGCCAGTGGTACAGAGACACTAGTGTTTATTGATGATGAGACACAGGACAGAAGCAACCGGATAACTTCAGAACTGTTCAAAGATTCAATGTCTGCTCAAATCCAGCTAGATGCAGTCAAACTGATTGGGCATGTTTCATACTACAGATGAACAATGACCCAAAACATACAGCAAATGAAAGCCGCTGAATTAAAGGCCTGGCAGAGGATTAAAAAGGAAGAAACCCAGAATTTTCATTTAAAATTAATTTTGGTAATGTAAAGAACCAAAATTAGAAAAAAATGGCCTCTGTCCAAATATTTATGAACCAAACTGTATTTAAGCTGGACACTAAGGAAGGAGAAAAGGACTTGAATCAATTCATTAGGCAGACACATCGAACCGGAAAGGATGTGCAGTAGGTTAGGATGATCAAGGATTGAGATGGAAATGTACTAACAACTGAAGAAAGTGTGCTGACAAGGTGGAGAACTTTGAGGAGCTGATTGTAGAGAATAAGAGTCAGAGGAGGATGAATGAAGATAGTGAACCAGGAAGTGCAAACAATAAGTAAGGAGGACGTGAGGGCTGGAGTGGATGAACATACATCCAATGAAAGGTGGATTGTCCAGATGACATAGCTGTGAACGTATGGAGATGTCTAGGAGAGAAGACAGTGGACTTTTTAACCACTGAAATCAAAAAGTCCACAACAATCAGTGTAATGGTACTGATGTTTAAGAACAGGGTTGAAGTGCAGAGCTGTAGTAACTACAGAGGAATAAAGCTGATGAGCTATGCCATGAGGATATGGGAAAGAGTTGTTGAAGGAGAGAGGTTCTCCTTATGAGAATTTCGGAAGGAGCTTCATTGTGTTTTTGAGGATCCAGAGAAAGTATATGATAAGGTGTCAAATGAGGAACTGTGGTGCTGCATGAGGAAGTCTGGAGTGGCAGAGAAGTATGTGAGGGTGGTGAAGGACATGTATGCATAGAGACAACGGTGAGGTAGGTGGTAGGAGTGACAGATGGGTTCAAGGTGGGGGGGATAACATCAAGTATCAGCTCTGAGCCCCTTCTTGTTGCGATGGACAGGTTGACAGATGAGGTCAGACAGAAGTCTCTGGGGAGAGTGACTGACAGATGCCATGTTGACCTGTAGTGAGAGTGGGGAGCAGGTGGAAGGGGGCCTGGAAGAGTCAGTCCAACTATAATTTCTTATGTAAAGAGTTTATTTTAAAATATGTTCATTTCATTAAAAATATACTATATTTCTTCATGACTGAACTTTTATTTAAAAGGTGCATAACCATGACAACCTTTTTTCATGACTGGAGTAAACCAGCAATGTTAAATATTTTATCTGTACATCTCTACAAGAAAGGGGAAAGAAAACCCACCACAATCTGTTTAAATGTAGTGAGATATCATAATGTTACCAGAGATAATTTACTCTCCTCTTAAAAGGCAATTCTGCCTGAAATGAGGCTGTGGATTGTGCTTGTTAGCTACCCACCTGTGGTGACTCTGTGTGTGTGTGTTTGACTCATTTGTGGGCAGATGATGGCATCAGTTTGCTATTATTTTGCAAATGCATCTCAATTAACTTCAAGGATCACATTTTCAATAAAATGAGTGTTTGACTCCTTTAGATTTGAAATGCAAAGCAAAAGAAAAAAATCAAATACCAGGAAAAGATCGAGCATTTTACATCTTGAGTGGTTTCACATGATGGAGACGTGATGCGTTTTCTACTCTTTCACAATAAATGGTGGAAATCAAGTTGGCTGGTAATCACACTCAGACTGTCATAAACACAGTAGGGAACTTCTTTTTCCTTTTTTTTTTACAGGAGAAAAAGGAAAGTGTTTTCTCCCAAACGTCTTGTCAAACACTCAAACTTCACTTCACTGAGATACCGCTCTGATAATGATCTCACCAAAGATACCAGTATCATAAATGAGAGCTCCATATTTAGGTCTAAAATCCCAAAATGTGGCTGAAACAAAATGAAACAGGGTGTTTTTGTTAAGCTTGTTTATAATAATTTTTAATAGCAGTTAATTGTATTTACTAAAATGAGTGAAACACAGTAAAATGACTGGATTGTAAAGATTTTAAAAAAGGAGAAATTGTATATTTTTTGCTTGTTTACATCAAGGTCTAAGGTCTGTATTTAGTTATTTAGAGTATGTACTGTATTTAGAGTTTGGTTATTGTGTTATGTAGAGTTCTTCTAAAAGCAGTAACCACACAGGAACATAGATGATGGTGAGTATAACTAGATGGGTAGATAAGTAGTTACAATCTTTTCTTTATTGATTTTTTTTATCCAAAAATGCTAAAAAGTTCTTAAATGCAATATTAGCTTTCGTTTTCCTTGTTCTTCCATTATAGTAAAAACATCTGTGTTTGCCCTTAAACTATAGAAATGCATATTGTAATGTATTTTTAATCTATATTTTAGCTGAACAAAAGCATAAATAACTGGCCGGTTAATCAGAAATACACACAAGCTGCAGGACTAAAATATATGTATGTAAATGAGAGTACAGAGCAAGCAAAGAGATGCGGCTGTTATGAGAATCTCATCTGCGTTTCCTAACAAAGTGCCTTTGAAAGAAGTCACTAAAGCTGCCTGAAGGATTCAGAAGCCGACTGCCCTTTTGTTACACAGTACCTGTGCAAAATCATGGATAAACCCAGGAAACAGAATGAGTAGCTCATTAAAATGCATTTGCCTGCAGGAGAGAAGACCATTGCATGGAAATGGCTGCAGCCAAATGCTCCCAACAGGTGACGACTGGACTCTCAATGAGATAAACTAGATGTAGAAAATGACCTTTAGTATAAGACCATAACAGAAAATGTAAAATATTGGGAATTTTGGACTAAATATGCTACTAGTGCCTAAAAGAAGTAACTCATTATGTTTCTGCCTCATTTCATTGTCAAATATAGATGCCTCTCACTTATATTTGACAGTGAGGAGCAGTTTGCACTGAATGTGAACTACCTCAGAAAAGCACAGAATCCCTTTTTAAACAAGAATCGCTGTAAGATACAGAGATTTTAATCTTTTTTTTCTTTTCATGATACCAAATAAGCTTAAATATGCAAGGTATTTGTGAAGTAATACATCGCTCACAAGTAGTTCTTCCATCTCCCCTGCAATATTGAAATACATCCTGATCAAACCATTTTTTTAAAAAGGACTTTTTCACTGGATGCTGTTGGCAGTGGTGAGAGCCAGCTGCGTAGGCTAAGCTTAAATTAGGTTTAAATGAAGCTTTACTGCATAAAGTCCTTCGAGTGCACAAAAGACACAAAGATGCACAAAAAGACTACACACAAAAACTCAGAATAGCTAAAAATACAAAATAAACCACAGGGGAAAAAAAACTAATGACCTAAACTACAGAAAAAAATAAAACTATCAGAGAGAGCACAGAAAGAGACTAAAAGAATTAACAACTGCAGGATCAAAGAAACTGGCCACAAAAACAAATAAAACTACTAAAAGCATCACCAAAATTAATTTTAAAAAAGATTAACAAAAACACTAAAAACAAAATAAGAACCACACAAACAAAAACTGACCACAAGCATGTGACTAGAAATACCACAAAAAAATCATTATAGAATCATCAAAGAAGGCAAAAATAACTCACAAACAGCTCAAAAATACAATTAAAGAGATGCAAAAATTTCTAAAAGAGACACACAATCCAAAGAAAACTAAAACCAGCAGAGGAAGAAGAAAATGGCCACAGCCTTCACAATCATTCCGTGACTCATTCAGTCTGGGGGGGGTCAGCCTTCTCAGTGGGGTGGGTACCTTTTACATGTGTGTACGGAGGGGGTGCTTTTGTCTCACAATCTGCCCATGGCTGCTGTAGCTGAAAGGTTTCCGACTGTAGTAGAATCTTTAAAGTTGCTGATTTGGCATTTATTGCAGTGAAAAAATGGTCTAAATATTAAAAAGCGTGCAGTTTGTTGTGTGAAGAATTTGTGCCTTTAATTTTAATTCATTCAGAACTTCCTAAACATGTCTGTAAGGGTTATTTAAAAGCATTTAACGGAAAACTCTCGTTAACCATAAATCATCTGAATGTACAGGTGAGCTAACAGATCATCATCAGCTGTCCGCACTCATTCACAGCAAACATCCATTAGTATGAACCGGTCAGGTTTACAACAGATACCCAAACTTACCTTAAAGCTGAGACTTCTCCGCACCTTCAGGACCAGACTTTTACCGGGGCTTTGCTGGATTTATCGGTGAAACAACGCGAGAAGAGCCGCTGCACTTTGCCTCCGTCGGGATGAGTTCCAGTGGCATCTCCAGCAGAGAAGCAGCCCGCTGCGCTCCTCCGTCCGCCTCCTTCTCACTTCTCCCTCCGTCTGCTCCGGACAGACTGATGCACTCAGAGTCCCCACCGCAACATTATGAACAGCGCAGGTCGCACGGTCTCTAGCTTGTAACTAGGTAACAGCTCTGCTGCCGCACACAGTCAAATAGGAGGTGTTAAAATCCTTTGGTGTGTGCGTGTGTGTGTCGTTCCCGTGTGTGCACACTCTGTGAATGTGACTGTAGTAGCGCAGGTATCATTTCAAAGCCTAAAGAACCATTAAAAAGAGCAGGTGTGGTCTATGATACTTTAAATTAAACACTTTAGCTAGAAAGCTGCCAGTCGGGCATATAAGTACCTCCCTCTACTCTAAATAACAGTCAGCCTGCACTCTGAAAATTGAGGACCTTACAGAAAAGATGACATAACGGGAGATATGTCTTATCATCCCCCAAAATATCACAAAGAACATAAAAGAAGGCAGGAAAAAGCCATAAGAAATGACAAGTACAACACAAAACTATACAGAATGATGGAAAACAGAAAAGCGGATTTAAGAAATCAAAATCAAAAAGAGTAAAAAGATTAAAATTACAAAAATCCAGAGGAATGAACATCAGAATCTAACAAAATGATAAATAGCCTTCAGTTGGGTTCAGAATTGGTTGGACAAAGACATTTGTCGTTTACTTTTGTACAGCATAAAAGCTTTTAACTCCAACAACCCATATGTAAATGAAGTGCAGACTTTCCACTTTAGTTCAAGGGGCTTCATAAAACCACAATATTAACTCTTCAGGAATTGCAGCAATGTTTATACAGGTTCTTAAAATGAATTAGACAAACTAATATAATTTTATAATGAGGAGTGTCCTTAATACTTGTATGGAAATCCTTTGTGGTCACTAATTGCCTGAAGTGTGGAATCCATGGACTTGAAATGCTCTGTCAGGCCTTTACTACAGCCACCTTCAGTTGCTGCTTGTTTGTGGATATTTCTGTGTTTAGATTTGCATTTATGAAGTGAAGAGCTGCTCTGCTGGGTTCAGATCAGGTGACTGACTTGGCTGCTGAAGAATATCCAAATTCTTTGCCTTACGAAACTCCAGGATTGCTTTTGCAGTGTGCTTTGGGTCATTATCCATTTACACTATGTTTTGCAGAATTTGGATGAATCCAAGCAGAGAGTACACGTCAGAGTTTATTGCATTTCTTTTATCAGCAGTCAGTAAACGTTAGTGGTGTAGTTCATCTGGCAGCCGTACATGGCCATATCGTAACATTGCCTCCACCATGATTAACAGTTCATGCAGATCATGAGCTGCTTCCCACATTAGTTCTCTTTATGCCTGGTACAGTCTAATCAAATCTTGGATTAGATGTTTTCTAGTAAAGTCTAACCCGACCCTTCTGGACTTGAGTGTAAGTAGTGGTTTTCACCCTGATCTCTGTTATTTCCATTAAAGGTTTTTCTTCATTGAAGACTTTGACAATGACACCCCGACTCCCTCAAGTGTTCTTGACTTGATTGGATGCTGTCATGCTGTTTTTCTTAACCATGGAAATAATTCTGTCACCATCAATTTAAATTGTCTTCTGTGGTCTTTAAGGCTCTTTTCTAAATGTACCAGATTGTTGATTTGGCCACTCCTGAAGATTTTTGCTGTCTCTGTGATAGGTTACTTCTAATAATGGCCTCCCTCACAGGTCTCACCTGGCCACAAAACTGCTGGTCAGTCAACCTTTTGATCTAAAGCTGAAAGTCTGCACATCACTTTTACCTTGATTGGTTGATTTAAACCCATCGTGATGTACAGTTGCGGTTCGACCCAGCATTTTGGAGTTGTTATGTTTTGGCTTTGAATAATGGATTATTCCTGTATACTGGTGGTGGTGGTGATGATTATGATGATGATAGATTATTATTATTAGAGTTCCATGTTTCTGTTTATATGTGTTTCAGGATTTGTGTCTCATGTTTAGCATTTAGGTTCCATGTGTTATATTCAGTCTGTCTCTCAGTGTCAAGTCTGCGTCTTTGTGTAGTGAGGTCTTGTTTCCTGTTTTATTGTGAAGGTCTGCGTCTCTTGTGAATGTGTTCAGTTTTACCTCTTGTCTCGTCTCGTTAATTGCTCCCAGCTGTGTCCACCACCTGTGTGTAATCTCCCTGTGTTTCTTTGTGTGTATTTAAGTCGTGTCTTCTGTTATTGTAGTTGCTGGTCTGTCTGTGTATCCACCATGTCGCACCTGTGTGTTCTCCCTGCTGTCCAGCTTCATTCTCCTCTGCTTGTTCTCGTTCAGGTTCGTGCTCTGTAGTTTAGTATAGTTTAGTTTGCCATTTTTTCCCTGTGCTGTGTATTCAATAAACCACTTTCACAACTTTACAAGTGCCTGCAATTGGATCCTCCTTTATCATGGGTGGCTGTAGCTCAGGTGGCAGAGCAGGTCAGCCACTAATCAGAAGATCGGTGGTTCAATCCCAGGTTGCCTCCTGGCTGCATGCCAAATATCCTTGGGCATGATACTAACCCCACGTTTGCCATGCTGGTGGTGGTCAGAGGGCCCGGTGGCGCCAGTGTCCGGCAGCCTCGCCTCTGTCAGTGCGCCCCAGGGCAGCTGTGGCTACAATGTAGCTTGCCGTTGCCAGTGGGTGAATGACTGAATGTAGTGTAAAGCGCTTTGGGGTCATTAGGGACTGAGTAAAGCGCTATACAAATGCGCTTTACCATTTATCATCTCCACACGGCTCACTCCGCTCGCCATGACAGTTGGTTTTGGACAGAATTAACAGTTTCACAGCATTTTCTCACACATTCAACACAAAAATATTCAAAACACACACACACACACTTCAATGTTTATACATTTTTCTTGTTACTGTTTTGTCATCACATCTCGTCCTTATGTTTGTCCTTTTTTCGTTCCAATGTAAAGTTGTTGTTTTTTTAAATCAGAAACAAAAGTCAACCAAACAGACACACAAACCAGCTACAAGTACTGAAAAATCACCCAAAAAAATCTACAAAAACTGACAGAAGATCAACAAAAAAATACGAAAACTACAAAAAGAAAACCTCACCCCAAAATAAGTAAAACAAGAGCACAACATTATTCACTTCAAAAGCTGATACTTTCTTTGTGACAGCAACTAAAAACTAAGGTAAGAACATAACAAAACAGCTTAATAATAAGTAGAACACTCACAGTTCAGTGAAATACAAATGTGCTGTGAGGGTTCAGAAAGGCGCTGTTGCCATAAGAGGACAGATTTTCTCTGGAAGACACAGATTTTGCACTGTGAAGATTTACTGCATGAGGTATGAAAGCTTGGCGGTTTCTGTCCTTGTGGAAGCAGAGATGAATCAGTGTGTGAGAGAAATTATTGCACCTTTAGTGATAAGATGAAATCTCTACTAACAGATATCTGAATATGATTATGCACAATTAACCAATCCCATTTAAGCAGGCTTTGACTGCATACAGAGAAACAGTCCATGTGGTTAAGGGTGATGCAATGACTGTTAAGCTATCAAAAACATTCAGATAAACCAGTAAAACATACTGAAAGCAAAAATATATATAAACAGAGGTAAAGCAAACACAAAGAAGTAAAAACAGATGGAATGCAAATAAAAAATAGACTCACAATAGCCACAAATACAATATTTTAAAAGAGACTGCTAACATCTAAGAGATTTAAAATGACTACAAAGTGATACAAAACTACGAGAGAGATGGAAAATAAACACAAAATGTCTGAAAATAGGTCAAAAAAATACACACAGGGAGATGGAAATTTGTCACAAGGTGACAAAATTAAGTACAAAGTTAGAGGTTGAGCACCCTCAGAGTCAGAAACATGGTGGAGCAGCCCTGCAGACTGAAAGATGATCTGCTCACTTTGTAGACATGCAGGGCTCATTCCAGTCTGACAGAAACCAGCTATAATCACAGGTGACCCTATACAAATGAAAACATAATTATGAATCCTGTATCCTGTTTCTGCTAATTGATCTGCCTAAATTCAAATGCCGATCCTTTAAAATTACAGACAGTGAGATGTTAGATTTTAATCACACTTAATGAGCTGTAGTGATTCTGGCGGAGCTCAGGCCTGTTTTGATACAGAATCACTGTGATGCAAACACTACGCTGCACATATTAATATCATATGCCTGGTAGGTTTATCATAATGTACAGCCAACGCACAAAAATATATGTTTTTGGTGTGTGTGCATGTCTGTATATGTCAGAAAAAGGCACAATTTCATGCTTTTCATGTTAGTCACATTGTCCTTTTTTAGTGGTCAAGCATCAATGGACAGATAAGGCATCTTGTCTTTGCTTTTCCCGATGCACATCTTCCCTGGAAAACTGCTCAGCCATGTATCGAGTTTTTCATTTACCAGCAAATGCACATAAACTCTGGGACAAGTCTGTCTGTAAGATCTAGTTTCCATGAAGTGAAGTAACCTGTTTTTCCAGGTCTATTCAGCTACACGAGCATGTTCTCTGCAACAAACGTTTCAAAGGGCCAATCTCTCAACTCAGCTTCTCATTTCAGATCACACAGGGAATGGAAAATCTGTCGAGTGTTGACTATACTGCAGCTGCAAGAGTCATAACGATGCCGCAAAGGAGAGAAAAGAAATAAACGCCTCTTTCTCTGTGCATTTTTGTCACTGCTGAAAATGCTTTATGAAGAAGAAGAATCGCTTTTTGCGTTTGATGACAGTGCTTCTTTGCTGTCCTCTGTGGTTTATCCCCGAAATGTCAGGTTTCAATCAGAAGCTGGCTTTGTCTAAAAGAAAGAAAGAAAGAAAATGGGCTTTTTGCCAGCAAGACTTTCAGTTTGTAATGTTTGATATAAATTATAGAAATTTGTTATTGGATGTCTATGTCATGTAATGCTATTCTGTCACCTTCTCCTGCATTTCACAATTACACCACAAGGCGCGTTGTGGGAATCGGTTCCTTGACGGACCAGCTGTGGCAATGATAGATGCCAAAAAAATAACAAATCAATTTTAGAGACCTAGAAAGTCCACATCAGAAGACTGGAGGGATAACTGTTAGCCAGGAGACCATGGTTTACTTCCTGTTTGGACCTTTTGTTACTTGATTTGAATTCT